CCGCAGCCCCACATGCCCCAGCCACAGCTCCACAGCACCCTGCAGGGCCCCAAAGCGTTTCACGAGCTAGATACAAAAGCAGGAGTCACTCACCCACCACTGCAATGCAGCCACCTCTGGGCTGGAAGGCAGCAGCGGCGTAGCAGCACGCAGCAACGCTACACAACAGATTAGGACTGGAAGTGAAGGAGAATCCCACATCCACTTGAAACTGCAGGGGGAATTTAGGGAGACAGAAGGTAATTACCCAGTGTGGGATGCTGGCCGGGGCGCCCACGCAAATCGTATCCTGCGTCACCTCGGCGCCAAGCCCCTGAGTGTGCGCACAGTGAGGGGGGGAGCAGGATCTGTGCCCAGGGTGGGCTGCGGGGGCAGGGGAGCTGCCAGCACCTCTGGCCCTCACACCCAGTCCTAACTCCTCTGAAGCTTTATGGTGTTACCGGGGAAGAGGGGAGGCAGGATCTGCCGAGGGAAGGGGAGTCACATGCCCTGCAGTGCCGCACAGCCGCGAGAGCTCCCTGGGACGGATCGGAGCCACTGTCCCCAAGGGACCTTGAGCCCCATGACCTGCCCTGGGGCAGCCAGCAGCCTTGCCATGCCCTCAGGCTGGGTCAGAGCCAGGGAGCCCTCCTGCCCCATCCCAGCCGTCCCCATCCCCGCACGCTCTGGACCTGGTTTGGAGCCAAAACGTCCGGAGAGAGAAGTTCCCGCACTCCCATCAGCGAGCATCCCTGCTGAGGGACTCGCGACGGATCCCCTGACCCTTCTAAACTCCCCATTCCCATCATGCTGGCGGGGCGTGGGCTGGAGCCGTGGCCGTGCAGCCCGGTGCAGCGGGGCAGACCAGTACTTACGGCTCTCTGGCTCGTCCTTCGCACACTGCAGCAGCGGGGACAGCAGCACGTCCGCGGCATCACCACCAACGCTGTGCTCTGCAGAAGGAGGGTGAGGGGGTGCAGAAGAGAGCTTCAGCAACCAGGAGGCGAGGGGTCCCAGCCACTCCATAGCTGGGACAAGCCCCGCTGTGCCTGCCGGAGCGTGCAAGTACCTGGTGGCTCTGGCGAGGACGGAGAACGGGTGGTGAGGGCTGACCTTCGCTTCCTGGAGGGCAGCTTCATCAGGTCTAGAGGAAGAGAAAGAGATCACCAAGGGACCCCAGCCGTGCGGCACCAGCGCTCCCCCAGCATCCCACACCCAGCCACCTCGCCGAGTCCTCGTCTCCCCCCTGGCATC